TAAATTTCTATTTCCATATGAAATGGAAATGAAACAAAAGCCCTTTTCAGGGCTACAAATTCTCTTTTGAAGAGATTAAATTTACATGCACATATATGCGAGAGAAAAGGTGCGCAATTTTATTTAAAGAAAAAAAAAATTACCGTCGGCGTAAAAAAGAAATCGAACAATACACAAACCAAATCTTTATTTATTCTTATTTTGTGTCTTCTTCTTCCAGATTGTTTTTTTATATTTCCTTCTTCTCTTTTATTTTTTTCATCAAAAAATGCATTCTATCTCTTTTAAGGTTGATTAGGTGGACCTTAGAAGGGCCGATCTTTATTTTCTTTTCAACTGTTCAAGTTCCTCTTTTTGAAAAGGAATACAATAAAATACAAGACGAAAGATGAAAGACCTCGTCGGTCTCGTTCTAAAGATTGTAAGGACTAAAGTCGCGGGACCTGGGACCGTTATTATGTCGTGCTATGTATTTAAAGCAAGATAAGTATATTTTATTTTCCACTCATTTTCCTTTATATTGCGAGCAGTTTGTTATTCTCTTGTGAGTGTTGTACGAAAGCTGTGGAATAATATCACATGCGCAATAAGTTAACTGGCATGCTTCGACTGTGATCAGGTAACAAATCGGCAAGTCCAATTCGATTTCGAATAGAGGAATAGTAGAGAAGAAGATTGTACATCCTTTCCCTTTTGGATCAAAGGGTCGAACTAGGTAATACACCGTCCGTCATTACCTGCTGGAACTACAGCCTACGGGTATCGAATTAGGGATATTTCGAAAGAAGACGGTCTAGTGCGTAAGTAACTTCCTTTATATCTTTCCTCGGAAAGTATTAAAACGTTTTGAAATTTTTAATAGCTTTTCGGTAATTATTCAGGGAAACAGAAATACCGGGGACGTTTCAACAATAGGCTCTGGAAATACGCGAGTTTAGCGCAACTTCGTTCCTAATCTCCAAGCTTACAATGGAAGAGGAATATTTAATGCATATGTTGGGTGAATGGAAACGATACTTGGCTTTGGTAACCAAAAGGCTAACAAAAGTAATGGAAAGTACCTCATCCGTTCCGTCCGATGGTCAGTGACAATAGATCATTTAAGTTAAGTGTAGCCATTTGAACTGTAATTTTTAGCCGCCAGGTTCGTTAAAAAAACGATTTTGTTTTATAACCTCACGAGATGTTAGGATTTTTATTCAGATCAAGGATAAAAATATTACATGTAAGGATACCTGGAATAGCCGCTGACGCATATTCTGGCAGCAGTAGGGAAAATAATGTTTCCAAATAGAAAAAACGACAATCCTGATAACAACATTGGTTTACATTAATACAGATTTTAAGTGCACTTTTTTAAATATTAACCTTCTGTCAAAACAGAAGAAGCATTACCTCCTCATCTTCTTATAAATATCCGTACACTAAATGTTCTTCTCGTCGCAAAACACTAATTATCACCAAAGCAGAAAGTTGGATTTATTAAAATGTGAAACTTGAAATTTCGGAAAAAATGTTGAAAGACACTCCACGCAACGCCTAAAGTCTAAGCCACAACACTGTGTCTCTGAGCAAAAAAAATTTGTGATTTTTTTGCTCATCACTCATGAGTTAAGCAGGACAGAAGGTTGAAATGCTTTATGGTTACGCTTTATGAAGAGACTCGACTATGCATGTGGAAAAATCGGCCATGCCCTCACAAAGCGATAAATGATCAAATTTTTGTCTTTTTTTCCTCACTTTTTTTAAGTTTTCTGTTTGTAACTCGTAAGACAAGCAAGAAGGAATAAGAAATTCGAGTAAAGATATATTCATTGTCTATCCAAAATAATTAATTTTAAAATAGATATGATGGACCCTATAGCTTTTTCTTAATAATACCAGCGATATGGGTATCAAATAAAAGGACTTGAAGAATAGATTGCGATAAGTTAAATGCGTTAAGTCGAAATTAAATATCGCTGACGTCACCACGTGATGGATTAATTTTTTTGCCATCAAAAAAAAGCATATGAATAGAAAATGGTTTTGTTTCTGCCCATAAAATACAACAAAACAGACGAGATAAAAAATCAGCCACGCCCACAGGATAGTGTGGAGTACAGAACTTTAAATTTTTCGCCTTTTTTCCTTTAAGTCCTTCCATAATGGATGTAAAAGACTCGAACGCTAATTAGAAATATTTATATATATATGTATATATATATACATAGTGTGTGAACGGTCATCAAAATTAAGTTTGTTAGACAAGTCGAAAGAAAGCTTCATATTTAAAATTATTTTTGCTTTGCTTACTGCATTATTTAGACTAAATTGATTTGTTTTTCATTTACTCTATCATTACTAGTATTTGTCATCAAGAGAATATATATAGCTAAGCGATCGATTTCTTTGAAATTTTTAATTGAATTAAACTCTTTAGCTGTTTGATTTTTAAACAAAGCCTATCTTACACACATGCATATAAGCTTGAACAGTCTTTCGCTTCTTAAATATCTCTTAATATATGAATGAGTAAATTTTTTACTCTCTCTCGCTCTCTTCGTAAACCTATCGGTCATTTAATAAACTTTCATTGATAAAAAAAAAAAAAAAAAAAAAAAAAAAAAATTGAAGAAATTTATTCAAGACTCTTAGCTGGCTAATAACCAGCTGGCTATCAATGATGGTAAATGTAATTTGTCCGCGCAAGCAGAAACAACAATTAAATTGAAATTGAAATCTCGGTCGTTCCTTATTTCTTATATTTTTCGTTCGTTAAATTTAAACGTAAATTAAAAAAAATTTCTTCTTTTTTTTGTTTTTAAATTTCGTACAAGTATGTAAACCGTTATAAAGCAAATCACATTTATATTTAATGAATAAAAACCATCATCAATAAATTCTTAAAAACGAGACAGAGAGAGAGAGAGAGAGAGAAGGCCAGAAGAAAAGTCTTTCTTTATGCATTATGGAATAAATATGAAATTAATTAATTCTTTGTGAAAAGTGAATTTAACATTAATTGTTTTTTTTTTTTTTTATTGAAAATGCATTCATTTTAATGTGAATTAATAAAGTTCATGTTAATGAAAAGTGTTTCACTGATATTTAATACAAAGTGTTTAAATATTCATAAATGCATTGACAAAGAATAAAAGAACAAAAATATTATTATTATAATTACCATCTTTTTTTTTTTATTTTTAATATGAGAAAAAAAATGTAAATGCATTAAATCGTAAAGTTTTTGAAATTTTTCAAGGTCAAAATCCACACTTAATGCATAATGAACTCAATACTTTTCTGTGTAAATGTGTAATGTAAAGAAATTAAATTTCATTACTTAGTGTAGTGATAATAACGGTTAAATAGTGACACATGACTTTTATAAGATACGTTAATGAAAGTGCTTCCCTTTCAACTTTGAAAATTTGTAAAAGTTCTTGCAACGATTTAAAAATCTCTCATCGACTCTTCATACCCCATACAAAATTGGGACGGCCGTACGTAACAGACAGAAGGGTTCAAGATAGACCCACCTCTTATTACACCGACTGATCCGTAATCGCAGTCTGAATTGATCTAAGCCTGTCTGTCCGTCTGTCCATGTAAATTTTTCATGTTCAAACTATTGTTTGCAATTTTCGAAATATTTTGATGAAATCCGGCGCACTTGTTTTGACCGAAGGGCGAACACTATTGAAAATGATTTAGATCGGTTCATTTTTTCGACCCCCCCCACATAAATCCCTATTTTGAAAAGTCATTATATGGAGAAAAATTGCTAGTTTCAATATTTGTTATTAAAAGTGGCTAAGTAGTAGTTTTTGGGGCACTTTAAATTGGTGTGGAAACTTTGGACCCGCTGGGACGATTTTCAAATCCCCTCTCATCTAACGAAAACTGAACTTCATACGAAAAAAAGATTTAATTTTTAATGCTTCATGAAGAAAATTATATCATAATAGTAATTTAAGGTAAAAAAAATAAATGTGCCAAATTTTGATCATCTCGGCCCATTTTTTGGGGCCCTAGCCAAATAAAGAAAAGTTCAAGTTTTAATATGTGATAATGAAAATTGACCCAAAATAGTAATTTCATACACAAATGAACTCTTCAAAATTTGAACCATCTACGCCTATTTTTGGGTCCTATCCTATGTAAGGATTAAACTTGTACTATATTACGTTCGTTTTAGGCATGTTTCCCCATAAATATGCACTTGAAAAATTTGCCGTTATTTAGGAATAGAATATAATTTTTGTGTTCTATAATACAAATAACAATTGTGTTAAACAATGTGGTGCAGTGCATTTAATGGTCGGCCTTGCCCGAGTCTAATATTCTTACTTGTTTTGAATATTTTTGATTTCCAAGACAAAGCTTACATTCAATATTCAACGCTGTTTTTATACTCTACACTATTGTTTACATTTGAAGAAAAACAGGAAAAAATACTATAGTGGGCGATGGCTAACCATTAAATACCTTACAGCATTCTATGGTTGTTCACTTTTCAATATGACCCATTATATATATGTATATATACGTTCAATGTATATATGACAGACAGACAAGCAGACACGTTTAGTTCGTATCAGAAATACTTTTTGAACCGGAGTCAAATTGATACAATAAAAGGTTGATCGCTTACAACCTTATGGGTGTTGTATACAACCGCACAGACTAAATATATCAGATACAAGTGGTGTAGGGTAACAAATAGCGATAATTTTCTATTCTCTGTTTGAGATTTGAGTTTTAAAGTTTTCTCCATTAAAGTTTGTGTACGCAACTCCAAGAACCCTTTGCATTGCCATATTGTCAAGTATTTCTTAATGAGCGGATAGGGAAAATATGGATCTTACCGATATATTCTGCCGTTATGATCGGTCAGTTATCATAAAAGAAAACAATACGTATTCTTGTTGTAATTGCTTTGATTTTGCATTCATTTTGTTGAAACTCACCTTACGCCGACAGTCGGGTTTGTCAAAGAGTCTAATACAAAAGCGAAATAAATTAAATACCCTACACCACGTATTGCTTAACACAATTCTTATTTTTATATGAATTCACTATTATGGGTCAATTTTCATCATCACCTATTAGAACTCAGACTTTTCTATTCTACAATGGATCAATTTTCGTGAAAATCCTTATAAGGGTAGGACTAAAAAAATAGGCTGAGATTCTCCAAATTTGACACAGTTGATTTTTTCATATTAAATTACTATTATGAAGTAATTTTGATAATGAAGCATTAAAAGTTATGTCTTTTTGTCGCATGAACCTCTGTTTTCGTTATATGAGCGATGATTCAAAAATTGCCTCAGCCGGTCCAAAGTATTCATACCAATTTAGAATGCCGAATTATAACTACTTAGCCACGTTTATCGAAAAATTTTGAGAATTGCATATTTTTTTCAGAATAAAGCTTTATATGAGGAGTGGTCGAAACAGTGAACCGATTTGAACCCATTTTCAACAGTGTTTGTAAAAAATTTAATCAAAATATCTCAAAAATTTGCGACGTGTAGTTTGAATACATTAGACGGACAAACGGTCAGATAGGCTTAGATTAATTCAGATTATAATTCTGAATCGATGGGTATAATAAAAGGAGGGTTTATCTTAAGCCCTTCTGCATGTTACATACATCTGCAATAACTTAATATACCCCGTACCATAAGTGGTGTAGGGTAGAAACAAGTTTGTTAACTCGCAAAGCTGTACAAGAAAAACGTATCTTGTGACTTTTGATGTTACTATCATGTTTCCCAAAATATGGTTATTCGACTAAAGCCATCATTTAACATCGTACCATTTGTATTCATCTTTACTTCCAATGGGTTTATATAATACATTATATTATTGTTTCTATGTCGAGGTCAAATTCCCTAAGCAAAAATGCTTATAAAATCCATCTCAAAAGTTGTTAAATGTATCGAAAGATAATACAAAACAAGTAAAAATTTTATAGTCAGGCAAGATCAAATAGTTATCCCATACCACTTTGCATAATACAGCCTTTAACTAACTTTCTTAATAATACATCAGAAAGTATACATTATTTTTGTGTCAATGCATTATTGCCATAAATGCCTTTATACTGGAGGGTACTCGAAATGTCAACCTAATCTAAATTTAGAGAACGAAATTTACTTGTTAAAAATTTTATTATATTCCAATTGCTTACGTCATAGCCAATCATAAATTAAAGCTTATCGTCAAAGATGGGCTTACTTTCACGAGAGTCCCTATATAGGGCTTGGTCTAAACAATACGATCTATGTGGCCTAAAATCGTTAAGGTTCTTTTTTATGTGAAATTATTATTATGGACGACTTTTCATCAAGAATGTTGAAAATTGATTGTATTTTCTACATAAAAATTCAGTTTGCCTAGGAACGGTTAATGTGAGAGAAGGTTTAAAACATTGCCCCAACCGAACCAAATGTTTTCTATCACTTTAGAATGTTGAACAACCGTTATATAGCGAGTCTTGTCGAGAAATTTTGATAATTGCAATTTTTTTCCATATAATGACTTTTCAAAACAAGGCATTGTATCGAAGGTAGTCAAAAGAATGGTCCGATCCGAGCCGTCTTTAATCGCGTCCTTGGCCCAAAACAAGTCAATGTACCAGATTGCATTACAAAGTACAACCTGAACACAAGAATGCGTGGACAGATATCACACGGACAGACGGACATACATGCTTAAATCAAATCAGAAAACGATTTTAAATGAGTGTTACCAAGTTTCATGAAAATATCTCAAAAATTATCATCTATGGCTTGAATATAAATTTATATGGGCAGAACGACAGATAAGCGATCAATAAACTAAAACGTAGATCTATCCTACGTCCTTCCATGGGCTATTCAAATCAATATTCTTTGTGCGTAGGGTATAAAGATTTAGCTAACAGGTATTACGAATTCTTTGACCGAAAAATCTAGATCTTATATTATTTAACCTAAAAATCGTAAAAATGATATTATTATGAGTGTTTTTTTTTTTATTTTTTTTTATTTCCTTCTTTTTATGGCTTGTTTAAGACGTTCAATACGTTTAGCTTGTTGAATAACTGTCTCAACTTGTTTTTGTTTTTGTAAATTTGTTACTACCATCTGTAAAAAGAAAAAGAAGAAAAAGACAAACTTGTTTCCTCATCTCAATTACATAACGTCGTAACGCTTTTCGTTTATTCTCTTTTCTCCATTTCAATAACCAAAGGTTTTATTTACGTTTTAAGATTTGTTTATAAAAAAAAAAAAAAAACAAAAAGATATTGATTAATGTCTGTGTGTAAATGCATTTACCATATAAGTGATATAATGAAGATGTAAAAGCGCTCTCCCATCATCCATATGCATGCAGTCGAACGAATAGGATGCTATTCTCATCGTTAATGCGATGTACATGTTTACCGTTAACTAATAAAGAGAAAATACAATAAGCGATAGTCATTTCATTGGGTTCAATCTATGTCCACAGTTAATATAAAAACAAATTTATATATTTATTTAATGGACGAAATTCCAAACGTTTTTTTTTTTTTTTTTTTTTTTTTTTTTTTTGATGATTTTATAGATTGATCGAGTTTATAGGTTGGTTGACTTCTTTGGACAAAATATTATAAATAATATGCAAGTGTTATTGTACGGTGTAATTAGCTGAACATGGTCAACTGATTCATCGCGCTATGACTAAAGATGACCCATTAAAATTATGTAAACTATGCAGAAAGAAAACTTGTTTTCTTGCTTCAATTACATAATAATCTTGTTGTTGTAGTTGTAGTTGTTGTTATTGTTGATTTTCTTTTTT